TGGATGAACTTTTCCACGGAGCCCGTAGCACCTAGGTCGTTTGCAGTCAGAACATCCCCCCCCAAGTCATATAAAGTGCACGAACACGATCAGCTAGAATGCAGGATTGGCTAGAAGCGCATGGAACTATTTATTGGACATTGATGCTATTCTGCGCCTTTCGCTTGATGGAGAGAACTCCCACAGCGACAGTAAATTGACTTTTTCGGGGGCAATATTAATGCTGATTTATTTTGAATAAAATAACCGAGGAATGTTAGATCATTTCAGCTTTGATGCATTGAAAAGTCATTCACTGAATGTAATCAGCACGGCAGCAGGACACACCATATCCTCTTTGCATGCATAGAGATCAAAGTCTATCTGAACAATGAAATGTGCAGTTTCGTAATAGAATCCTTGCTCGCTCCGCGTTCATTTGGTATTCAGACCCCTTCTTTGGACATTGTAGTCCTGCCTGCAAGCATGGAGGAGATACTACTTCCGCAGCTTAACAATACGAGAGAAAAGCGTCTAGGAGAAAACCGGCTCGCGACGAGGCATTTGCCGCCCACTGTTACGGCAACGCCCAGCCTTTATTTGTAATGTATTCTGATTGTTCCGGTACTACCTCTCTTCGTTCCGAATGGTGAGAGTGAGATGAGGAGATAGTGCTGACACCAACAAGTAACGCCCTCTCTATGTCTTGTGCACTGCAAGGGGTTCTATATGAGGCATTTCTCCAGAATTGCCTGGAGAATGTTTCTACAATGGGTTGGATACTTTTATGATACAGTTTTGATGCAAATCAAGTGGCAGATGAAATAAAAGTCAAAAATAGAAGTAGAAATATCGTAAAACTGCAGTAGAACCGTGTAGGTGTTTCGTGCTAATCGAGTGCAAAAGCGTTTTCTAGGCTCTTTTTCTATTTACTTCGAAACAAATGATATTTCAGCGGCTGTCTCACTCTCAATCTGTCTTCTCAACAGATCACCTTACAGCCCTAGCCTATCCGCTCACGACTACTGAATTTTCACCCAGTACAGGCAGGTTTCCAACAGTTTCTTACTTGTACAATGTGATTTTATTGCAAACGTTTTTTATGTTGAGTTATGGAAAAAAAAACTCGGTTTGGACTAGGATGAAGCATCACGCTTTCCGGGGCAGTATATTAACCATTAGAGCACCAGAGCCACTGTCCACCCTTGTCAGCTTGATTGCTTTTCTAAGAGCGCGTTCATACTTCGCAATCTGGTCGATCGAGCGGCCCTGACCGAGTACGCTGCACCGCAAATCGGTGGACCGTCGGAACTGCAGAATTCAAATGGGTCCGAGTAAATGCACTGCATGAGCGTTGCCCAATTGGATTCTGCCCTTGTGACAGTCCATCTATCAGCGGTGCAGCGCGCCCTTTCGCGATCGCGCCGTCCATTCGCTCCAGCGAATGGATCGCTTAGTATGAACACCTTACTGGTGACCATGATTGGGTGACGACCTTGATGTTGTGAAGCCAAAGTTCAAAACAGCGCTGATCTCTTATCTGGTAAATTGGAAAGGACTGGACGTGAATCGGTTACCAATTCATCATTTATGCGGAATCTGCAGAATCGTTTCGCGTCTTAAATTTCGCTGAGTCTCCGATTTTCCTGTTGTCTACTTCTTCAAAACGTCCAGTAAGCAAAACCTGACCAACAGTCCCTGGCCAGTTGTTTTCGTGAATTCTTCAGTTACCCAGGGGCTGGCGCTGCGTATAAACGTATACTTAGCACACCACACTGGTAGGCGTGAAGTTCAGGTCTTGAGTCCTGGTTGTGGTCATGTCTTTCTCCCATAACCTAGCATTTTTAGGCACTGTTCACTTCGCGATGACGCG